CACATGCACACACATGCACACACACGCACACACATGCACACACACATACACACATACACACACACATGCACACACACACACCCTGGGGGAACCACTCTTTCCCAGCCCCCCCCCCTCAGGCAGTGAGGGGTTTCCTGAGAATAGCTTCATTGAGGCCTCGTAGTTGGCATTATTTTTTGCAGGGGGACAGGGGTTGTTTTGCCAGTTCCTGGGGCTTACACTCAGGGCCTGGGCACTGTCCCTGAGCCCCACTTTGATCAAGGCTAGTGCTCCACCACTTGAGCCACAGCTCCACTTCTGGTTTTCTAGTGGTTCATGGGAGAGAAGAGTCTCATGGACTTGCCTGCCCAGGCTGGCTTTGAACCGTGATCCACAGATTTCAGCCTCCTGCAGAGCTAGGATGACAGGCGTGAGCCACTGGCACCCGACTAATGGGATTGCTTTGTTAGCATTTCAAGATTGTCCCATTTCACAGATGGGAAAACCAAGGCTCAGAGAAGGTAAGTTGCTTCTACAAGTTCAGAACACTTAAAAGTAGTACACGTAAGATCTGAACTCTTATCAGTTTATCAGTCCTCTCCTCTAAATATTCCTCTCTCTCTTTTTTTTTTCTTTTTCTGGTCCTAGGTCTTAAATTCAGAGCCTGGATGAAGACCCTGAGCTAATTTTGCTCAAGGCTAGCACTCTACCACTTGAGCCACAAAGCCACTTCCGGCTTTTTCTCAGTGATTTATTGTTGATACAAGTCTGTGAAGAAGGCTCAGTGGTAGAGCGCTTGCTTTGCATGCCTGAGGCCCTAGGTTCGATTCCTCAGCACCACATAAGCAAAAAAGAAAAAAGCTGGAAGTGGTGCTGTGGCTCAAGTGGTAGAGTGCTAGCCTTGAGCTGAAGAGCTGAGGGACAGCGCCCAGGCCCAGAGTTCAGGTCCCATGACTGGACCCAAAAAAAAAAAAGTCTGTGAAGAATTTCCTGCTTAGGCTGGCTTTGAACGTGAGCCACCAGCACCTAGCCATATTCCATTAAAAATATAGATTATAAATTTATAAATATATCTTTATGTTATATTATATATTTATATAGTTATAACGATTATATATAAACATATAATTGTATGTAACTTGGTTTTTTTTTTTTTGGGTCCGGTCATGGGGCCTGAACTCTGGGCCTGAGCGCTGTCCCTCAGCTCTTCAGCTCAAGGCTAGTGCTCAAGAATAATTTTCTACCACTTGAGCCACACCTCTACTTCTGACTTTTGACGGGTTTATTGGAGATAAGAGCCTCTTAGACAGTCTGCCTGGGCTGACTTGGAACTGTGATCCTCCTATTTCAGCCTGGGCAGGAAAATGGATGAGACTCTTATCTCCAATGAACCACTAGAAAACCAGAAGTGGTGCTGTGGCTCAGTGATAGAGCACTAACCTTGAATAAAAGAGCTCAGGGACAGCGCCCTGAGTCCAAGCCCCATGAGTGGAATCCCCCCTCCCCATAAGAAAAAAATCACAGAGACAGACAGGGGGCTGTGATCTGGGGGTTCCATGCTGGCCACTCACTCACCTGACCCAGGGAGGCCTGGGCCCGCCCCGCCACTCACTTGTTGTAAAGCACGATGTCAGGGAGCCAGATGCGCTTGGAGGGGATCCGCAGGATCTTCACCCCCTCGTAGTGGGCGCTGTCCCATGCCAGGCGGTAGTCTGTCCATTGCTACAAGGCCCAGTCACTGGTCAGTCCCTTACCACCCAAGGGCGGCCCTCCTCCAGGTGATGAACCCTGGCCCTGTGGGGCCTTACCTGCTTCAGCCAGATGTTGGTGGTCATGATCTGTTCTCGCTCATTCTGGGGAGAGAGAGAGCCATCAGGACATCAAGATGGAAAAGACCGGGCGCTAGAGGCTCCAACTATGCAGGAGACTGAGATCTGAGGATCACGGTTCGAAGCCAGCCCTGGTAAGAAAGTCCCTGAGACTCTTATCTCCCATGAACCACCAGAAAACCGGAAGTGGAGCTGTGGCTCAAAGTGGTAGAGCACTAGCCTTGAGTAAGAGAGGTCAGGGACTGCGCCCAGGCCCTGAGTTTAAGCTCCAGTGCTGACAGGAAAAAGAAAGAAAGAAAAAGACAAGACTGGGTACTGGTGGCTCACATCTGGAATCCTACCTACCCAGGAGGATGACATCTGAGGGCCTTGGTTCAAAGCCAGCCTGGGCAGGAAAATTCTTACTGCTGGGGTTGGGAAGGTGGCTCAGTGGTAGAGTGCTTGCCTAGCATGCATGAAGCCCTGGGTTCGATTCTTCAGTACCACATACAGAAAAAGCTGGAAGTGGTGCTGTGGCTTCATGTGGTAAAGTGCTAGCCTTGAGCAAAGGACCAGGGACAGTGCCCAGGCCCTGAATTCAAGCCCAGGATTGGCACAGAGAACGAAAAAACAAATAAATCCTTTAAGCTGAAAACAGCTCCACTCCCTTAAAACCGAGCATTTCATGTTTATGCCAGCTTTTACAGACTCTGACTTCTCCCAGCAGTATCCCCAGGAATAGGGCTACGGGGCTATGTCCCCTTTTTCTTCTGGAAGGCTCCATCACCCTCTCCACTCCCCAACCCCTGGGTCCCACAGAGCGGGTCTGGCGGGGGCAGCCTGAGCCTAGAAGCATGACTAGTGCCGCCTGCCTGTCCACCTTCCCCAGGGCAACCGTCCAGAGAAGCAGCTGGGTCACCCAATGAAGCTTTATGCCCTTGGCTGCTCTAGAATGTTCTCACAGCAGCTGGGGTACGGCCCGGCTGGGCGTCCTCTCTGCCTGCCGCCTGCCACTGAAAGTGGGGGGGGGCAGAGATCGGGACATGGAGCCCTCTCCATCTGGGGCTAGCTGGGCTTTCTCCTCAGGGATGCCAACTAGCGATTTGGACAATTTTTTCCTTCCTTCCTTCCCTTCCTTCCTTTCTTCCTTCCTTCTCTCCCTCCCTTCCTCCCTTCCCTCCCTCTCTCCCTCCCTTGCTATCCCTTCCTTCCTTCCTTCCTTCCCTCCTTCCCTCCTTCCTTCCTTCCTTTTGTGCCTGTGGCTTGAACTCAGGGCCTGGACTCTGTCCCTGAGCTCTTTCCGCTCAAGGCTAGCACTCTACTACTTGAACAATAGCCTCACTGCCAGCTTTTCTGGTGGTTCATTGGAGGTAAGAGTCTCCTGGACTTTTTTGCTTGGGCTGACTTCCAACCATGATCCTCAGGTCTCAGCCTCCTGGGTAGCTAGGATGACAGGCGTGCACACCACCGGCTTGGCCAATGTTTTCTTGAACACTATAGAACTGAAGGAGGGACTGGGAATTAAGAAGATGCCAGCATAGCTGGGCACCGGTGGCTCACGCCTGCCATTCGCAGCTACTCAGGAGGCTGAGATCTGAGGATCGTAGTTCAAAGCCAGCCTGAGCAGAAAAGCACCCCCCCCCAGACTCTTATCTTCAGTGAACCACCAGAAAACTGGAAGTGGCGCTGTGGCTCAAGTGGTAGAGCGCTCATCTTGAGAAAAAGAAGCTCAGGGACAGCATCCAGGCCCTGAGTTCAAGCCCCATGATGGACAAAAAGAAACAAAGGGGGGGAAAAAACAAAAACAAACTCCACTCACCTGACACCTCCTTTTTCCCCACTAAGAACTGAATCCCCATGCCCTAACACCTACACATAAGGCTGGAAATGGGTGGGTCCTCCCCTCGAACTCAGAGCCCCAGCTGCCCAGGACCTTTGCACCTACCACACTGATGAGCTGTGCCAAGAACAGCTGTAGCTTGATGGAGATGAGCTGGGAAGAGCTGGTGGCCGGGCGGATCAGGTTGTTGTAGCGAGTTTGGTTCAGAAGATCGTCCATCAGCTTCTCCTCCGCGTTAGCCAAACGGCAGTCCCCTGGGAAACCACAGAAGATGGGCTGGGAAGGTGGCTCAGTGGTAGAGCGCTTGTCTTGCATGCCTAAGGCCCTGGGTTCGATTCCCCAGCACCACATAAGCAAAAAAGAAAAAAGCCAGAAGTGGCGCTGTGCCCCAGCACCACATAAGCAAAAAAGAAAAAAGCCAGAAGTGGCGCTGTGGCTCAAGTGGCACATAAGCAAAAAAGAAAAAAGCCAGAAGTGGCGCTGTGGCTCAAGTGGCACATAAGCAAAAAAGAAAAAAAGCCAGAAGTGGCGCTGTGGCTCAAGTGGTAGAGCACTAGCTTTGAGCTGAAGAGCTGAGGGACAGCGCCCAAGCCTGGAGTTCAGGCCCCACGACTGGACCCCCCCCCCAAAAATATTATGCAGCCATTAGAAAGGACAAAATAACGGCATTCGCAGGGAAATGGAGGGAACTAGAAAAAAGTCATTTTGAGCCAGGTAAGCCAAGAGCAAAGAGACAAATGGCACATGGTCTCTCTGATATGTGGATGTTAAATTCAAAATGCAAGGAGATATGACAAAGTAAGCAGAACTCAAGAAACACAGGACTTCGGCCCAATTTGTTGTGTTATTTCTAAATGACTCCACGTTCTTGACCACACATATGGTATATATATATGCGCACATCTGAGGGAAGCTAGGAGGAGGACACAGAATCATAGGGAAAAGGGGAAACATACAACAGAGGGATCCATCAGCCGCACTGGACATAGACGAAAACGAACTAAGCAACTCAAAGGCAGCGATGGGAGGGAGGGAAGGAGAGGGAAAGAGGGAACAGCTGACACTAAGCAAAAGGAAGAAATGTCCATATCACCCGACGTGGAAGAAATAGCTGTATTGTCAAAGCTCATAGAATTCACAAACTTTATAGACCATGAGGACAATTTGCCTTGTAAAGATTAAGATGTGTTGGCGACTTTCACTAAAGATCACTATCCCACAACACTGTGAAATTTGTGAAATATAGGTAATACTTAATCTCAATAAAAATCATAGATAGATAGAGATATATAAAGAGCCTGAGCTAGCCCATCAGTGTCTCCCACAACACTCTAGGCCCCCAAACTGTCCACTTTAGCACCCCAGATCTTTTGCCAAGTAGTATGTGAGTATCTCATCTTCGTGTCTGGAAGGGAAGGTAAAGTTGAGGGACCTGTGTGTGAGTGTGCATGCGTGCATGTGTGTGTGTGCACGTGCATGTGTGTGTGTGGCTTTGGAGAAAGGGGGGCAGGTCAGAGACACACCCGCAGCCCCGGATGCTGAGAAGCCAGCAGAAGGATGGGGGGGATGGGGGATAGGGCGCTGGCCAGGGCAAGGCCTGGTTCCCCAGATCCAAGAACCTGACTACATCCTTTGCCAGAAAGCCATTCCCAGAATGGCACCAAACCCCGTTCCTGTGTAGGAGGGAGCGGAGTGCTCCAGGCATAGGGCCGGGCGGACCCCAGGCGGGGCCGGGCAGGCCTCCCAGCCCCTGGGGAGCAGCACGCTTTCCAACTGGCTGCCTATTTGGAGCAAAGGCACTATTCAATGCCTAGTGCAAACGGCTCCTGCACCTGCTGCCCTCTCCCCTCCCCCCTCCCTGCCCTTCCCTGAGCTGGGAGGGAGGGTGGGGGAGGACACTGTGGATTCCTGCCCTAGATTCCCAGCCCTGCCTCTCCCACCTAGGGATCTTGGCACCCAGAGGCCAGCAGGCAGCCCTGGGCTACACCTTGATTCTTCTGCCGGCCCTTCATTCGCTCATTCATTCTACTTGAGCAGTTTTTCCTTGTACAGTGCAAAGTGGGCATCCATGCTCACGCCTGTCATCCCCGCTACTCAGGAGGCTGAGATCTGAGGATCTCAGTTTCAAAGCCAGCCTGGGCAGGGAAGTCCTTGAGACTCTTATCTCCCATGAACCATCAGAAAAGCTGGAAGTGGTGCTGTGGCTCCAAGTGGTAGAGCACTAGCCTTGAGTGAAAGGAGCTCAGGGACAGTGCCTAGACCCTGAGTTCAAGCCCCAGGACTGGCACAAAGGAAAAAAGACTCTATAGCACAGATGTAAGCTTATGATTGTGAGGGAGGCTGGATCCCACCCCTCTGCTGCCCCAGCAAGTTTATCCCACTGGGTTCCCCAGATTCCAGGCTGGTGGGGGGGGGCATGGTCAAGCTTTGAGCTTACCCAAAGGACTCTCTTCCTTCACTTTTGGCCCATCAGGCAGTACCAGTAGCTCACACCTGTAATCCTAGCTACTCAGGAGGCTGAGACCTGAGGATCGCCATTCAAATTCAGCCTGGACAGGAAAGTTCGTGAGACTCTTAACTCCAATTTATCACCGGAAAACTGGATGTGGTGCTGTGGTTAAAGTGTTAGAGCTTTCGCCTTGAGTTGGAGAGCTGAGGGACAGTGCCTAGGCTCAGAGTTCAAGCCCCACGATCCCCCCCCCCAAATTAAAAAGTTAAAAAAAAATCACATTGGGCCCATCTTGCCTGTAAGGTATTCAGTTCACCGGGGACCCTCCACCATCATAAGGATCCCCTCTGGATGACAAGCTAGAGATCCCCAGAACTTTTCACTTCTCAGGTGGGCAAACTGTGGTCATAGGAGAATGAGAGAGATCAGCAACTCAGATTTGAGTAAGTGCCAGGAGACCATATCAGGTAGAGGTCTCCCCTCTTCCTCCTCTCCCCCACTGGGGCTTGAACCCAGGGCCTGGGCACTGTCCCTGAGCTTTTTTTGCTTTTGTTTTGTTTTGTTGCTCAAAGCTAGCCCTCTACCACTTGAGCACAGCGCCACTTCCAGCTTTCTCTGTGTATGTGGTACTGAGGAATCGAACCCAGGGCTTCATGCATGCTAGGCAAGTACTCTACCACAGAGCCACCTTCCCAGCCTGACCCTCCTCTGAATCCTGTGACTTTTTTTTTTCTTTCTGGGGGAATTTTGAACCCAGGGCCTTGCACTTGTGAACCAGGCACTCTACCACTCAAGCCACACCTCCAACCCCTGTGCCCCTGCGAAGATCCCTTATAAGGAGACTGCCCATGCGAAGGCCAGAACTGGTGGAGTCCAAAAGGGTGAGAATAACTAGAATGGCTGCTAAGGGCTGTGTTTCACACCCTCTGTCTCCCCCAAAAGTATGGGGGGTCCCAGAACAGCCCATGTTTATGCGTATTCCATCGGTGGTCTAGGCCTGTGAGGTCTGCCAGGCCCCAAACACAGGGACAGGCCTTCACAAGTGGGAAGGAGAGACCACCGGCCCACGCAGTGAGCCAGGACCACCACCAGGGGTCAGCGCTGAGCCAGTGATTCTGATGGGGAAGAGGCCCCGGCTTTCCTTGGCAAAGGGGATCCAGGGAAAGAAGTTAACAATCTGAGAGACAGCCAGCGCTGGAATTCTAACCTGTGCGTGTGCATGCACATGCGTGCGCATGTAAGTGTGTGTGTAAAGTCTGAAAAAGCATTCTGATTTAAACAGGAAAAGACAGCCAGGCGCTGGAGGCTCACGCCCATAATCCCAGCTACTCTGGAGGCTGAGAGAGGGCTGAAGTCTGAAGGCAGCCAGGGCAGAAAAGGCCATGAGACTCTCATCTCCAAAGAACGAGCAAAAACCTGGAAGCAGAGGTGTGGCTAAAGTGATAGAATGCCAGCCTTGAGCAGAAAAAGCAAAAGGATGGAGCTCAGGCCCAAGTCCAAGCCGCCCAGTACCAGCATGCATTCGGCTTCTCGGCTGCCTTTCAATAAAAACACATCCCACATGCCCCTGCTCAGATAAGAACACACACACACACACACACACACACACACAAAAGACATATCCATTAATTATTTTGGAATACAACTACAGAATAACATTGGCAAGTGGACATTTGAAAGATAAAGACTGTCCTCTGTGTGTGTGTGTGTGTGTGTGTGTATCTCAAGAAGGGCAGATGAGATGTGTGTTTATTAAAAGGCATCTGTGAAGCCAGGTACTGGTGGCTCACGCCTGTGATCTTAGCTACCCAGGAGGCAGAAATCTGAGGATCACAGTTTGATGCCAGCTTGGGCAGGAAAGTGTGTGAGCCTCTTATCTCCACTAAACTCAAAAAGGCTGAAAGTGGAGCTCTCGATTGAGTGGTAAGAGTGCTAGCCTGGAGCCAACAAGCTCATCACAGCACCCAGACCCAGAGTTCAAGCCCCAGGACAAGCATGCCCATGCACATATGCACGTACACACACACACACACACACACACACACACACACACACACGCACGTGCACACGGCTGCCATGGATTTTTTTCTTTAAGCTGAGATTGTACCTCTTACCAGGAGCTCATCACACACCATCTCCAGTCAGATGTGTGAATCATCTCTGCATAAAAGCAGATTCCCAGGTTGGGTTTCCAGAGAGCTTGAGCCCTGAGCCAGGGTGGGGCCCAGGAATGTACACTCGGGGACATCCACTGCCCAGTGGGACTGCATCAGGCTGTGCAGAGCAGCTCCATAGAACTGGTAGGGAAACTGAGGCCCAGGAAGGGCAAAAGGTATGGCCTAGGGGCACCTAGTAGGTGGTCCAAAGCCAGGATGCATGCTTAGTGAGCTGTCATCAGCACCCTTAAAAAGAACTCCCCTTCCTAAAGGCTCCCTATATAGCTCTCCATTCCTAGCCCAGCACCTCTCTGAACTAGAGCTCTGTCTTAGGAAGATGCAGGTAGTGGTCCTCTAGGCTCATCTGGGCCCAGGGAACAAGTTGTTGTTGTTGTTGTTTTTTTGCCAGAGTTTGGGACCTGAAAGGTCTTTGGATCTCCAGGGGGACATCTGTGTTTTTTATGCTCTCGTGTGTGTGTGTGTGTGTGTGTGTGTGTGTGTGTGTGTGTAGGTCTTGGGGTCTGAACTCAGGGCCTGGGTGCTTGAGGGTTTTGTGTTTGTTTTTCTCAAGGCCAACTCTCTACCACTTGAGTCACACCTCCACTTCTGGTTATTTGATGGTTAATTTTGAAGATGAGTCTCCCAGACTTTCCTGCCCAGAATTGGCTTTGAACCATGATCCTCCTGATCTCAGTCTTCTGAGTAGCGAGGATGACAGGCGTGGGCCACCCCTGGCTTTCGGATGGGACATGTGAAGCGGGGCAGGCGTTCTGAGGGGCTTGGGGGGGGGTCTTCCCCGCATGTCAGCAGTGCGGTTACTATGACCAGAGCCCCCGGCCAGAGCTGGGGAAACCCGACATGGAGGTGCCATAAAATCTCTCCTGAAAGATCGTCCTGAAACGGGCTGCCAGCCGGGCTCCTTGGGGTGAGGTTTCTCTGTAGTGGCATTTGGGGGTGACCTCTCTCTAAGTCAGATTTGCAGCCACCTCTGGGGGTGCAGAAAGGAAGCGTCTCAGCCCTGTTAGGGCTGGGACTCGGGGTCCCGCCCTTCCCGCTGGGGCTGCCGGGGGGGTCCCCCAACCCGGCTGATCCACCCAGGGACCCCCCCCGCCCCCAGGGAGGAGAAGTGACCCCCAAACCTGGCACCCCGCTCATCCAGGCCAGGCCCCCAGCATCTGGGCTGGTGGGCTCGGCCCCGCCCACGACCCCACTGGGCCGGGACGAGCCCTGGCCCCTCCCCCGGGGATGGGGGCGCCTTCCGTCCCCCCATCCATCCCGTCCCCCGAAAAGAACTCACCGTGCCCACAAAGGGCGATCAGGGAGAGAAAGACCAGGGGGTGCGAGCTCCTCATGGCAGGTGGGGTCCGGGGTGACAGCCCACCGTGAGCGGAGTGGTGGGGTCGCCCGACGCCCGGACGCCCCGGCCGGCCGGAGAGCGCGCGCTGGTCCCGGTCCTGCGGCCGCAGGGCACTAGGACCCTGCGGTCGTCCGCGTGCCGCCGGGCCGCCGGGCCTCCGGGAGCCACGCCCACCAAAGGGATGGGCCAAGGGGCCCCGCCCACCCAGGAGATGGATCGCCTGGAGTCACGCCCACCTTGGGGATGGGCCTCAGGAGCCCCGCCCACCCGGGACGGTGGATGGGCTGGAGCCACGCCCACCAGGAGGCGGGCCGGGTGAAGACCTCGGGGTGGGCGGAGCCTGGGTGGGCGGGGCATTGTGGGCGGAGCCGGGGTGGGCCTCCACTCCAGGGCTGGCCTGGCTCCTTCCCCACGATGACAGGCCCTGCAGGGCAAAGTGTGAGGACTTTAGGGTTTCCCCCAATCAGTTTGCGAACTGAAGGAGGGAGCAGAGGTTCAGAGTGGTGAGTGAGAGGGGGTCCCAAATCTGAGGTGGCCCCTCCCCGATGAGGGGAGGGGGCGGGAGGAGCAAACGCCTCCCTCCCCTGCCAGGTAGCCTCTTCCAAGTTTTGGGGGATGTGAGCACTGGGCGCTTGTCAATCATCTGGGTCCCAAAAGACATGGGGCAGCTTCCGGTGGCCTAGGGAGTGCTCCTCCCCTCCAGCCCCGCGGGGCTCCTCCCAGGTCTGGACCCCCAAGAGGCAAATCCCAGGACAAGGCGGGAAGGGCCAGGAAGGTGCAGCTGGAGTTGGGGTGATCAGCTGGGAGAGGGAGTTTTGCCAGCTCTGCAGGCTCACCATGCCTTCCTGTGGCAGGAAAATAAAACCAAAACAGCTGGATGTGGCTCTGACATGTGATCCTAGCTACTCAGGAGGCTGAGATCTGAGGATGGAGGCTTGAGGCCAGCCTGGACAGGCAAGTCTGTAAGACCCTAATCTCCAATGAACCATCTCCCCCCCCCAAAAAAAAAAAACCCCAAAGTGGAGCTCTGGTTCAAGTGGTAGAGCACTAGTTTTTGTTTTGTTTTGGTTTTTTTGGTCCTGGTTCTTGATCTCAGGGCCTGGGCACTGTCCCTGAGCTTTTTCCTTTCAAAGGTAGCACTCTATCCTTTTGAGCCATATCACCACTTCCTGTTCTGGTGTTTAATTAGAAATTAGAGTCTCATGGACTATCCTGCCTGCGCTGGCTTTGAACTGCAATCCTCAGATCTCAGCCTCCGGAGTAGCTAGGATAACAGGTGTGAGCCACCCACAGCAGGCTAGATCACTACTCTTGAGTAAAAAAGCTCAGGGGCAGCACTCAGGCCTTGAGTTCAAGCCCCAGGACAGGCACCAAAAGCAAACGGAAACATCGTTGAAATGGGGCTTGAGTTCAGCCAGTTGGCTGGTTTCCTCTGGGGATGGTTTGGAAACTTCTTTTCCAGTGAGAAGAGCTATAGAAAGTGAATCAGAGACATAACCAGGCTGAAAATAAGATCATCTCCTTCTTGAACCAAAAGCAAAGAAAAAAACCAACCCAACAACAACAAAAAGACATGGGCAGTGGCAAGACCTTCCCATTAAAGAGGGCCTGACAGACTCCAGGTTAACAGGCAGGAGTTTAAATGAATCCTAACCCTTGAGCGGGCATGTGCTGGTTGTTTAGAACAGCACAGAGGGCGAGCCTGACCAACCTGCAAGCCATTGCAGCACTGTAAGCATTAAAAGCAGCGAGAGAGAATGGGGCACCACTTCACAGAGGCCAGAAAGGCTTGCTCAACAGCGCAACACAGGGACTGCCTTTTCTGTGTCTAAGTGCCAGTCCTGGGGCTTGAACTCAGGGCCTGGGCACTGTCCCTGAGCTTTTCTGCTCAAGGCTAGCGATCGACCACTTCAGCCATAGCTCTACTTTGGGCTTTTTTGGTGGTTCATTGGAGATAAGAGTCTCACAGACTTTCCTGCCCAGTCTGGCTTTGAACCTTGGTCCTCAGATCTCAGCCTCTTGGGTAGCTAGGATGACAGGTGTGAGTCACTGGTGCCTGGCTTGTTAATTCGTATTTAAAAGGGGGAAAATAATCTTCCCAATGAGCTGTCCATGATATAATGCATGAGAAGCACACTTTCAGAGGCCTGGGACATTAAAAAAGTACTAATAAATATTCATATATTACATATATGAATAAATTCTAAATACTTAATGAAGTAATACCAAGTTAAATACAACAGGGCACACGCAGAAAAAAATGTGTTATGTGAAGTAGATTTTTAATCTCATTAAGGTAAGGATGAGTCAATATCAGCTATTTTGTCAACGTAATAAACTACCTTAATGAATTAAGTACTCATCCAATGCAAACTATGAACACACCAGCTACCTTAACCTAATCAACCTGTTGTAACGGTCATGCCTAATAGTAAAAGTAAACAAAAAAAACAAAAAACAACCTTTTTTATGTGCCTGGCACTGGGGCTTGAACTCAGGGCTTGGGCACTGTCTCTGAGCTTTTTTTTGCTCAATGCTGGTACTATACCACTTGATCCACAGCTCCACTTCTGGCTTTTTTGGTGGCTCATGGGAGATAAGTGACTCACAGATATTTCTTCTTTTTTTGGGGGGGGGGTGCGGTCATGGGGCCTGAACTCTGGGCCTGGGCGCTGTCCCTCAGCTCTTCAGCTCAAGGTTAGCGCTCTACCACTTGAGCCACAGCCACAGCGCCACTTCTGGCTTTTTTCTTTTTGCTTATGTGGTGCTGAGGAATCGAACCCAGGGCCTCAGGCATGCAAGGCAAGCGCTCTACCACTGAGCCATCTTCCCAGCCCATCACAGATATTTCTTCTGTCCAGGCTGGCTTTGAACCTGAGTCCTCAGATCTCAGCCTCTTGAGTAGTTAGGATGACAGACATGAGCCGCTGGCACCCGGAACAAAGTATCTGCTATTGCTATTTCTAGTCAGCATTGTCCTGAGGTCCTAGGCAATGTGTTAAGCGAAGCCAAATGAAATAGGCTTTTTTTTTTTTAAGGTCACAGATTTCCCAGTATCAGCAATTTATCTGATTTAACTCATAATAGAAGGGAATAAATTTTAGCAGTTGCAAAGGGCTCCCTGTATTTGTGGACAACAGGATTGCTATATAGGAAATCTCAGTGATAAATAACCGAACAGATAAATTTTTAGCACCAGTCAGAGAGTTCTTGAAGCTGCTGGATTGAAGAGCAACCTGAAAAGACGATTAACATACATCAACAATCACAGGGTAGGAAAATCTGTCAGGAAATAAAAAGATTTTAAGCACAAGAGCATCCAAATACTCAGAATATATGTAGGTCAGATACACCAAGAAAGACCTTTCATGAAGAATATTGAGCTGAAGGTAGGTGCCAGGTAACTCAGAAGGCTGAGATCTGAGGATTGCAGTTCAAAACCAGCTGGGGCAGGAAAGTCCTGTGAGATTTTATCTCCTATGAACCAGCAAAAAGCTGGAAGTAGAGCTGTGGATCAGGTGGTAGAGTACTAGCCTTGAGCAAAAAAATCTCAGGGACAGTATCCAGGCCCTGAGTTCAAGCCCCAGTACACCCTCCCCCCAAAAAAAACAACAAAACAACAAACTACCATCCTGGAATTGGCACCAAGTCATCTGGTGCTTTTATACCATACCAGCCTCCAGACAATAAGAGCCTCTTCCTCCTGTTTGCCTTCCAGCTTCAACACACACACAAACCATTCTTTTGGCTCTTTCTAGGGCCCCTTGCATCCACAGGCAGGCGGAGAAAGGCAGTTTATTCAGGAGAGGAGTTGAACAAGCCAGGAATTTGGAGCTGAACCTGAAGCAGCAGGCCCAGGCCCCAGGGGAACACAGCTGGGTGAATCCTGAGAGAGAGAGAGAGAGATCATGAAATCCACCATTTGGAGACCCAGATCCAGGGCTCCATCTGGCTTTCTGCTATGGATTGGGGCGCTTCCTGCTTCTGCCAGCCCTGGGCTTCCACTGGTGAGCCAGCTGGCCTTGTCCACTGTCTGGAGCAGGCAGTTACGGGTGGAGCAGCAGGCAAGACATTACACTGTGTGTGTCTGGGATCAGACATAAGTGGGAAGGATGCCCAGCCATCTCCACAGCTAGCATCCTCCGGAAACCACTGCCTCGAGGCACTGTTAAAAACATGAAAAAGAAAAGGAAAACAACAACAACACAAATGCCTGACATCCTAGCTCCTCAGGAGGCTAAGATCGGAGGATTGAAGTTCAAAGCCAGCCCAGGCACTAAAGTCTGCAAGACTCTTAGCTTCAATTACCTACTATAAAGCCGAAAATGGCGCTGTGGCTCAAAATGGTAGAGTGCTAGCTCTGAGCACCAAAGCTCAGGGATAGTGTCCAAGACCTGAGTTCAAGCCCTAGGACTAGAACAAAAAAATAAAATAAATAAAAAAGACAGAATGGAAGGAAGGAAGGAAGGAAGGTAGGAAGGAAGGAAGGAAGGAGGGAAAGAAGGAAAGAGAAAGAAGCTCACAGATTTTCCTGCCCCAGATGGCTTTGAACTGTGGTCCTCAGATCTCAGCCTTCTGAGAAGCTAGGATTACAGGTGTGAGCCACTGGCTCCTGACTGTATGAGACTCTTAACTCCAATTAACCAGCAAAAAGCTGGAAATGGAGCTGTAGCTCAAGTGGTAGAGCTTCAGCCTTGAATGAAAAAGTTAAGGGAGAGTGCACAGGCCCTGAGTTCAAGCCCCAGGGCTGGTGTTCATGCATGAGCATGTGTGTTGCGCACAAGTGTGCTTGTACACACACACACACACACACACACACATGAGTCATGTCTTCTCCCACCTTAGCCTGAACGGACTCTGGATGCCGGGCGGGGTCTCCAGTCCTCATCTCTTGGGGTGGATATAGAGGGAGGATCCCCAATATATTACATCACTCATAGATACCAGAAATTCCATCCTGAACTCTGCCTACTCATTTTTGTTTGGGGGGAAGGG